GCATATACAAATTTAATTTTTCATATTTTGGAATGTTTGAATTTTTTAGCATATAACTAAAAGTTTTTTTCTTATTTTAACAATTTATTTATTTATGCATTTTTTTTTTAGATACTTAATCTAATTTTTTTCATTAACGTCGTTTTCAATAGTAAATTTGCTTTAATTTTTAGATAAATATCAATATACTATGTTAACGGATACCAAATAAAAAATGATATAGTCAACTTAATAATTTTAAACTGTTTTCTAAAATGAAAACATAACTGTAACAGGTCGAAATTATACATAAAGCAAATCAACCATAATGACTGAAACGTATTTATATCGTATTGCGTGTTTTCGAAATAACAATTTAATTAATTAATAAGCGTATTTTTAGATCGTTTTAGGATTTTTAGAGCATATATTACTAATTTTGAATGTTCATAAACATTTTTTTAGTGCACAAAATGTATATTCCTGTGTAAATAATTAATTATTTATAATATTTCAAATATATATTGGTTAACACGTTAGTAAATACCAAACTCATTAGTTACTTTTAATTAGTGGTATTACATACATCACTGTTTTGTTACCTAGTTATTTGCGTTACTACAATTACTAACATTATATAGTCTAACTAAGTGCAACGCCGTTACTAAAACTTAAAGTATATGTTTAATACAATCTGAAGATTCGATATAATAAATATTTCAGCCCTTCAATTTGCGGTAATCAGAATGATCGAGTATGCGGCAACGGACCATCATTGCAGTTTGTGTTCGAAATTGACGGTGCGTATCAAACCACCACAGAAAAAATATTGAATTATTTCACTACCAATTTTAAGGCGGTACACAAGTACTTAAAACGTCTGGAATATGTACACATTATTTACAGGGACAATGAAGATATCGATCGAGGAAGTATCGAAAACGAAACCAGTAAGTATTTAGCCTCTTATTGGCTAGCGTCGAAATGTAAATTGATACATAAAATCCTTTTATTTTCTTAGGCATTATTAATTTTCGAATAATGTTAGAGAAATACAGACAACAAATAACCGACGTAGACAAAATAAAGACCGTTAAAATGTTGGGCATGTTTCATTTAAAATTACATCTTTTAAAAAATGTTGCTAAACCGACCTGCGAATATTTATTAGAGCTAGTGGAAAAAACGCTTGTAAAGTATGTGCGGGATCATACTTAAACAGTATGTAAAAAAACTATCTTCTAATAAAATATACCTTCATTTAGAGCGGGAAAACGGTTGGTGAATGAAATGTCAAACGAGATAAATGATTCTCTCAAGTACCTCCACACTTCACCATCTACTGCTGCACAATACGTAGATTATAAAAAGTTCCTGGAACATTTTTCTATAAGGGTTTGCGTTTGAACAATATAATAATATTACCTACACACTAACGGTACAAGGAAACAAACAATATTCCTTAACGTGATTTAATATTTCAGTTGGACGAGATAGATAAAAATCAAAATTATATTAGAGAACTTTATGACTTGGCTGAAAAATTTGAAGTGCCCGTTCCTGATGAGGATATGGACAATTATGACGTGAATAGCAGTTTATTACTCTGTAGCTTATAGTTTAATAATAATAATTTATGCAATTTGTATATAATATTTATTTACAGAAATTTGCAGACGCGCTAACTACTTTACACACAGCTTTTGAGGACATTAACAATGAACAAGACAAACTCATTGGAGAATTCGTCAAAAAAATTGAAATTCATATAACTGACATGATTCAAGATGTGGAACAAATAAATGCTGAGGCCAATGTAATGATGTATAAAATAAAATGTATATGATGTATACAATATACAGCCTAGGAAATAGTATTTCAAATACAGTATTAATAAAAATTTTTTTTATAATATTTTTCCCAAAGGTATTTAATGCAGATATACTGAATACTTTTATAGTATTAAAATTACATTTTTTTATTTTAGTATGTATTCATTTGTTGTAAATCATAAACTTTTACACAAATACAGTGTTGGGAATAGACAACTAAAAAATTATCTAAATAAGATAAGATAATTTTAACAAAATATTATCTAGATAAAAATAAAGACAATATAAATGTCATTTATCTAGATAATTTTCTAGATAAATATAATTTTTTACACTTATTTTTATCGTTTTTTAGTATTTTTGTAATATTAGATTTATATCAATATAATGACATAATATTTATAATAACTACGGATTGAGCCTTCGAAATACAATTCTACGAATTTAATTTTAATTTATTTCTAAAATGGATGGGGAAATAAACCTAAATATACCTAATTAATTTTTTTTTTTTTTTTTTTATTAGATGACCCGCGGCAACAATAGGCCATTGGATAGGGGTGGAACTGTGAGTTTTTTTGTATTTTTGTAGTATTGGATAGGTTTGGTACACGTGTGTGTGTTGTGGCAGAATTTCTAGTGGGGCACCCGTAGGTTTCTGCCATGCCCGGTTGGGGGATGGCGGCACTTGTTCTCCGGACACCGTGACTTGCCCGAAGAAAAATTCCGCCCAGTGGCCGAGAATCGAACCGGGGACGGCTGCGCCTCAACCGACGCCTTAGACCGCTCGGCCACCTCGTCCCCCAAATTAATTTTAATATGCTCATTATGGCTAATAGAGAACGAGATTTAGTGCAAGCCCGCATGCAGGTTATCGTATTATCGTAATACCGTCGTTGGCAATAATAACAAAATATATATTCTTCTGATTTTATAAGTAATGTATATTATATTAGAATTTTAGTAGCATTGATTTTATAATTTTTTAGTGGCTCTATAATATTTATCTGCATGAGCCCATTTTTTATCTAATCTAAACATTAGATAAATCGTAACATAATTATCTAGATACTCTAAAAGATAATTTATTTCAAAAAATCTTATCTAGACAATTCCCAACACTGCACAAATATAATATATTTAAACATTGACTATAATTCCAAATATTCCCCAAAACAAGTATAATTTTTTTAATATCTAAAACAAAAACAATTTTAAAAGTATTTGGAATAGTTGTATAATAATTTAAATTCTCTATTTAAAATACTATTTTTCATAAGCATTTGAGTATTTTACCCATGTCTTACATTTACGATAAATTAACCATTATGAAATATTTAGTATCATTAGTTATTGATTTTCAGGAATTGTGGTTAACTGATATTAACAGTAATAAAGAAGAAGTAAAATTGGCATTATCGAAGCTCAATAACCGATTAGTAGAACGCCAAGAAGAATCGAATTTGTACGAGTCTTACCAAGGTTTCTTTCTAGTAGATATTACCAAGTTAGATATTCTAAGCGATGCAAGTGAAGCTGTAGGGCTCAGAATACTGCTGTGGGATAGTTTGGACGAATGGGAAAAAAAAATGTCTATTTGGGAAGAAGATCATTTTCATAATTTAGAAGTAGAACAAATGAATACATTCTTAGAAGTAAATTTAAATTACGTAATGCAATTTAAAAAAAGTATTCCTGCATGCAAGCTTGTTGATCTTATTGATCAAAAAGTAGAGTCATTCAAACAAAAAATGTCGATCATAACAATGTTAAGAAATCCAAATCTGAAGGACCATCATTGGATTAAAATCGAACAGATCCTTGGGACGACATTTCCAACTAATCAATATCTTACTCTTATTATGCTCGAAAAATTTGGTGCTTTCAAATACGGCTCTGAAATAATAGATGTTTCAATGCAAGCAAGTTCTGAAGCTACTTTAGAGGCGATATTGAAGAAAGTTGAAGATTCTTGGAAAGCTGTAGATTTGATTGTACTTCCCTACAAAAATACTAATGATCTTTTTATACTCGGATCATTGGAGGAAGTTCAAATAACATTAGAAGAATCAAATATAAACTTAAATACTCTCATTTCATCAAAACACATAGCGATGATTAAATCAAAAGTTGAAGAATGGATAAATTCTATGGCCATTATGAATGATATTCTGGTAAGTAATATAATAAATATATTTTATAAAATATTAAATTGTTTTTAACTTAAAGACAGATTCAATAGTTTCAATATAATGTGTTTAGACGGAATGGATGTTGTGCCAGAATAATTGGATTCATTTGGAATTGATATTTGCTGCACCGGACATACAACGACAACTTCCGAATGAAGCTAAATTGTTTAATCAAGTAAACAATTCATGGAAGAGTATGATGCAAAAGGTTGTAAAAAATTCTTTAGCAATAAGAACATGCACTGAAACCGACCTATTGAAAACTCTTATAAAAAACAACCAACAATTAGAACAAATAATGCTATATTTAGAAGCATATTTAGAATCAAAAAGAGTTGTATTCCCGCGGTTCAATTTCCTAGCGAACGATGAGCTTTTAGAATTAATTTCTCAAGCTCGAAATCCTAGAGCTGTACAACCGTACATGAACAAATGTTTTGATGCTATTTGGAGAATTCAATTTAAAAACGACGACGAAGACGGAAAGCCATTACAATCGGTAATAGATGGAAAGTATAATGCACCTACAGACGTTATAGCTATGATATCTCCGGAAAGAGAAATCGTAAAATTCATGTCACCGATTAAAGCCACCGGGAACATTGAATTTTGGCTATCGAGGGTAGAAAAGGAAATGATAAGTACACTAAGATCGCTCATGTCCATAGCCATTGAAAATTATGACGAAATTCCTAAAGAAAAATGGGTGTTACTACACGCTGACCAGGTTAAAATTTGAATGATTTATGGTTCTGAAATATGAAACTATTCGTTTTTTCAGCTAGTGATTTTAGTATCTCAAATGACATGGTGTCGAGACGTACACGAAATCCTGAAGCTCAAGTCCAACATACAAGGATCTTTGATCGAATTTGAACGAAAATGTTTTAAATTAAGTATTTCTACCACAAATCGCATTAAAATCTGAGTTATAATTACAATTTGTATCACTAATGTCGAAGGCTTGTCGTTTTAGGACCTGAATGATTTGTCAACAATGGTTCGACAAGGACGTTTGACCAAACTCCAATATTCCGGAGTACGAGCATTGATCACCGTCGATGTTCACGCAAGGGATATTATATCTTTTATGGTCGTCCGCAAAATTAATAGCGAGGAGCACTTCGAATGGTTGAAACAACTTCGTTACTATTGGGATACCGTAGATGGTTGTGTAGCGTACTCGGCCAATGCTCGTTGGTTGTATGCTTTCGAATACCTAGGTTCATCTCCTCGATTAGTTATAACACCATTAACTGACCGATGCTACCTATGCTTGATGATTGCGCTTCAGTTATGTTTAGGATGTGCATTGTCTGGACCATCAGCTACCGGTAAAACTGAAACGGTCAAGGGACTCGCGAAAGCGTTAGCTACACAATGTGTCGTATTCAACTGTTCTGATGGATTGAATTATAAGGTGCAGAGTCGTGTCGGATTTACAACGGCTACATTCATGTGAAAAAATTAATATTCATGAATCTCTTCTTTTATTGTAGACAATGGGTAGATTCTTTTCTGGCTTAGCTCAATCGGGATCTTGGTGTTGTTTCGACGAATTCGACCGGGTAGAGATTGAAGTACTATCGGTCATCGCGCAACAGCTAATCACTATCACGAACGCAAAACTGACTAATGCCAATAAGTTCACATTCGAAGGTCGAGAGATTAGGCTTATCAGGACATGTGCAGCATTTATAACGATAAATCCAGAATATGCGGGAAGAAGCGAACTACCCGATAATCTAAAAGCATTGTTTAGATCTGTGGCAATGATGATACCAGACTATAGTTTAATTGCCGAGGTGGTATTGTATTCTGAAGGGTTTAAATTGTCAAAAATGCTGTCTCATAAAATAGTAAAAATGTATCAATTGTGCAGTGAACAGCTTTCCATTCAAAACCACTATGATTTTGGAATGAGGTAATCAGTATTTGGCTTATTTCAAGTATTATATTTTAATCTAACAACTATTTTGTATTATTGTAGAGCTCTAAAAAGTATTTTAGTAATGGCTGGCTTGTTGAGACGAGAAAATCCTCTCATTGAAGACAATTTAGTCGTAATCAAAGCATTGAGAGATAGTAATTTACCGAAATTTTTAAAAGATGACGCCATATTATTCAAGGTATGGAATACAATTTGAAATTGTCATTGAAACATAATGTACAAAATATAATACCATAGTTCAAACTTTAGGATATATTAAACGATCTATTTCCCGGAGTTTTCTTGCCAGAACAAGATTATGAAATATTCCTATCGACTGCCAAAGACGTGATGGAAAACGAAGGCTATCAAATAAAAGAACGCATTTATGTAAAAGTTATACACTTATTGCAAACAATAATTTTCAGACATGGTATCATGACTGTTGGTTCGGCGGGGAGTGGAAAAACTACGATTTTAAAAATACTTGGTAAAACATTATCAGAGCTTTACAATAAGAAAATAGAAAACCAACATTATAGGCCAGTGAACATATACCAACTGAATCCTAAAGCGATTACTATCAGCGAACTTTACGGCCGACTGGATCTCCATACAATGGAATGGAGAGACGGAGTACTAGGAAAAATTATAAGAAAAACAGTTCAAGATGAAACGGAAGAATTTCAGTGGGTGGTATGCGACGGCCCCGTAGATGCAATATGGGTCGAAAATCTAAATACCGTACTTGACGATACTAAGATTTTGTGTCTGGCCAATTCCGAACGCATAAAATTGAGTTCTTGGGTAAGGGTTTTAATTTTTTATATTCTAAATTATCGGCTTAACATTAATATAGGTATTATAAAATAACGTACAATTATAATTTACAGGTTAGAATGATTTTTGAAGTTGGTGATTTATCACAAACATCACCCGCTACAGTTAGCAGATGTGGAATTGTTTATATGGACACATCAGACCTAGGATGGTTACCATACGTTCACTCGTGGGCAAATAGATTACAAAATGATGTTATTAAAAGTAGTTCAGAATTAAAAAACTATTTAGTGTCACTATTCGAAACTTATGTCAACGAAGGTTTTTCATTTATTGACAAATATTGTTTGGCTCCCATTAAACAGGTGCTACTATATTTTAATTTAATTAATCTTCAAACAAAAATTGTAAAAAGATTTGCGTTGATACTATAATTATACTTTGATCCAGGTTGAAATTAGTAAAGCTACTACGCTGTGCGCCATTCTTGAATCTTTATTAACTGATCCAGGTAGTTTTGATGCGTCAACAGAAATGTCAAAAGTCCAAAAATATATTTATCAGTCATTCATATTTTCATATTTATGGTCTCTGGGATCGAATTTAGTCGATTCTTCTCAAATAAAATTCGAAAATTTCGTTTTCAATCAATTCGCAGACAAATCTGAATATGGTATTCTACCTGGAATGAAATTATTCAACGTATATCTTAACATGGAAAGTAAAAAGTTTGAAAATTGGAATACCATCGTGCCAGATTTTGTGTACAAGTCCGGTACACCTTATCACGAATTACTAGTTCCCACAGTAGATAGCATTCGGTATACACACGTTGTACAAACGATACTACAAATGAATCAACCAGTGATGTTGACTGGAACAACAGGTGTGTAAAAATATTTAAACACGAGTAAAACTATATATAATACCATAATCGTACAATTATTTTAGGTGTGGGTAAGAATTCGGTAGCAAATTTCGTCATGCAATACTTGACGTCTAAGGGTGACTGGATAACTGGAACGATAAATTTTTCTGCGTACACTAATAGTAACAGGACCCAAGAATTATTAGAATCAAAATTAGTGAAAAAAAAACGAAATCGTTTCGGTGCACCGGTAAATAAACGTTTGGCGCTTTTTATCGATGACGTCAACATGCCGATACCCGAAGTTTACGGTGCTCAACCTCCTATTGAATTACTAAGACAGCTTTTGGACTCCGGTGGCATATATGATAGAGATAAACTCCATTGGAAGGACATAGAGAATGTGATTTTGTGCACCATCTGCGCACCTCCAGGAGGGGGACGAAATCTATTAACTCCAAGATTTACGAGACACTTATCAGTGATTTTCATGCCCATTGCGAGTGAAATTGCCCTGAGAACTATATTCACCTCTATTTTAGACGGGTTTCTAGAAGAGTTCCCTCCAAATATAGCGGGTTCTAGTTCAGAAGTAGTGAAAGCCAGTGTTGAAATGTATTTGCGAATTTCAGAAGAACTGTTACCAACTCCGGCTAAGCCACACTATGTTTTTAATATTAGAGATTTGTCGAAGACCATACAAGGAGTCTTGCAAGCTAATTTCATCACAATACCGGATAAAACACATTTATACAGGTATATTGCAGTAGTCATGACTCACAACACAAGATATTCACTCACTTAAAAAATATTAATTACGAACAAATCACATTTTTGAAAATATGGACAAATAATATTTAAAACTATTTAAGTTTTTTATTGGTAGCTACTAGCTAATTTTGTAAAAATAAATCATAAATAACATAATATGCTTTACATGTCATTATGAATAATATTTATTGAATTGATAGAATGTTTTATCTGTTTTTCTCGCAGGTTATGGTATCATGAAACATTGCGTGTGTATCACGACCGTTTGGTTTGCCAAAAAGACAGGTCATATTTCTTTAACCTTCTTCAGGACGTGTGCATACGTTATTTTAACACTACTGTGTTAGACTTTTCCAAATCTACTGACAAAAATTCATCACGTCCTCCAATGTTATTATTTGGTGATTTCATGAATCCAGTTTCAAAAGAGAGACGGATTTACGAAGAAATAATTGATATCGATAAATTAAAAACCACATTGGTCGAAAATTTAACAGATTTCAATATAGTTTATAAGAAAAACATGCACATCATATTTTTCATGGACGCCATCGAGCATGTCACACGCATTGCGAGGATATTGAGATCCGAAAGAGGAAACGCTTTACTCGTCGGAGTTAATGGAATGGGCAAACAATCGTTGACAAAATTGTCTTCACACCTTAACAATTTTAAGTAAGTATACGTTATGGTAATATTCTATAGATACAAACATGAAAAAAATCTATGTTTATATTGGAAATACATTTTAATTCAAGTACATTTTTATTATATTCAGATGTTTTCAAATCGAGTTAACAAAATCATATAATCATACTACTTTTCGTGAAGACCTAGTGAGTCTTTATCACAACACTGGTGTGAAATTTGAAGACACCACATTTTTACTAACGGATAATCAAATAGTGCAAGAAGAATTTTTAGAAGATATAAACAATATTTTAAGCTCAGGTGATTAAATGTTTTTCACAAGCATGACACTAAAATTAATAATTTGATCAAATATTATTTATGAATAATACTTATTTAATATTTTATAATATCTATTCAAGGGGAAGTACCAGATTTATTTAAACATGATGACTTGGAGAAGGTGATAACCTCTTGCCGGCCGGCAGCATTGAGTCTGGGAATCGACGGCCAAAACCATGAAGCGATGTTCAGGTTTTTCATTCAGCGCGTACGGTCTAAACTCCATCTGGTCGTCTCCATGAGCTCGATCGGCGATGCGTTTAGACGAAGATGCCGGCTGTTTCCTTCGTTGGTTTATAACTCGACAATAGATTGGTTTGACGATTGGCCGACCGAAGCTCTTTTGTCTGTGGCTCACCAAAGTTTAGACAAGGCTTTTGGACGACCAGAAAATCCAGACCTCGTTGACAGTCTAACGAATATGTGTCACACAATGCACTTGGCGATCAGTCGAGCCACTGAAAAATTTTGCAGACAAACAGCTAGGAGTTGCTACGTAACTCTCAGGAGTTATTTGGAATTTCTGAAGTTATACGTGACAATGCGGGGATCACAAACTGACAAGATTAAAAACGATTCGGATCGAATTTCGAATGGCTTGCGCAAATTATATGAGACATTTGACATGGTGGGAGATATGAAAACAAAATTAAAATCAATGGCACCGGCACTGTTAGAGAAAAATGAAGCCACTTCAAAATTAATGGAAGGGTTGACTAGAGAAAAGGCGAGCGTAGATAAGGTGCGGCAAATAGTGCTTGTGGAAGAGACAGCAGCGAAAATGAAAGCTTCGGCCGCGCAGGAAATAGCTGAAGACGCGCAAAGAGACCTTACTTTGGCTATGCCGGCCATGGAAGCGGCCAAGGCAGCATTAGAATCACTCAACAAAAACGATATAAACGAGCTTCGGATGTTGAGCAAGCCACATAAACTTGTTCAGACCGTTATGGAAGCCGTGTGTTTATTATTGGCCAAAAAGTAAGTAATATGAATACATACATAATAATATACGAGGTCATGTTAGAGGATAGTTTTATTAGGTAGTAACATTTTTAAGAGTTGTATTTTTTAGTAGTACCTTTTTATAATTAATAAGGAACAAAAACCCTAAACAAATTTTAAATTAACATAAATAAATACATTCATATCAGTGCATGTGGTCATAATTCCTTAATAGCTTGCATTTACTATATAAATAAAGTCATATTCCCGTGGTGATAAATTTTTTAACACGATTCTGCACATACTTAGTTACTTACTTGAAAGGTAAATAACTGCTCTAATTTTATAATTTTTTTTGCTTAGAACTGATTGGACTTCCGCTAAAACCGTATTAGGAGATGCCAATTTTCTAAAAGCTCTACAGGAATACGATACAGACAATATATCTGATAAAATGATCAATCAACTTAAGCCTTATATAGAAGATCCAGATTTCAATCCACAGAAAGTAGCTACTCAATCAAAGGTAGCCAAATCGATGTGCATGTGGGTTCGAGCAGTTCACAGTTACTATTTAGTATATCGAATAGTAGAACCCAAAAGAAAGAAGTAAACAATTTAATTTTAATTTAATTTACCTAACACCCAAAATATAGTTATCCTAATGATAATCCGAATTATAGTATAATCATCACAATAAAAATAAATATATATCATATTATTCGTAATTTATCGTTAATGAATGGACCATATCACTTTAGTGATAAATAGTAAAAATGTATGTAATTAAATATGAATTTGTTGGCTAGTTAAAATTTATTTCAACTTGACAAGGTTGGCATTAAGTATAAATAAACTAGGGTCATCTTCATTAATAAGAATAAGACTAATGACTATAATATAACATCTATATTTTAATTATTTTACGATACAAAGAACACAAATTAGTGTTTCTTAATTGAGATATTTTATGATTATTAAATAGTTTTAACAACAGATAAAAAAATATAGGGGGACGGAGTGGCCGAGTTTACTAAGGCGTCGGTTTTGACGTACACCGACGCCGGTTTGATACATCGGCCATGGGTGGCATTTCACGGTGTCCGGAGAACAAATGCCGCCATCCTCCACCCAGACACTACGGGTGCCCAAATCAAAAATTCTGCCAAAACAAACAAAAGCGTGTTCTAACCTACAATTTCCTCCCCTAAAAAACAAAAACAAACAACTAATGGCCATAGCTAATGGCTTCACAATCAATAAAAAATAAAAATAAAAAATAAAATAAAGTATAATAAATAATAATTATTTTTAGAGTCCGGATTTAACTATATTTTGTCAAAAAATAATTATTAATTTGTATTGATCAATGATCATAACATTTATAGGTAATGATAGTTCATATAAATATTTTTTTTAAATGTAGGTATGTAAATTGCATAAATTTCTTCACATTTTAGATTCTGAGCGGTGAGATGAATGTATTATTTAACAATGAAGGGTGTTTTTTTTATTTATTTTTTTAGTTTGTGTATCCGATAAATAGTTGAAATAATGCTTTGATTTTCAACTTCGATATCTTTTCTGGAAAAACAAAAACAATTAAGGAAAAACAGAAAATTTTCAAAAAACCTGATTTCAACAAAAATCTATTTTGGTTAGTTTGGTTATTGGTGTACTAAAAAAAATGACCGTAGATATGAAATGTTCACAAAATGTTTATATTATCATTCATTTTCAAAATATTTGAAGTGAAGTCTGAATGCGCGCTGCACCTTAACTAGGTACCGATTTATCGTTTTTCACAAACCTCGTCGTACGCAAGTCGCAAACACATGGTGAACTACACTCCACTACGTCATAGTGACAACGAAATGGCATTATCTGAAGGACCGAATGACCTTCCTACTCACATTCAACGTTGTGAAAAACCTGTCTATTTTTGTCCTTATTCCCGTGACCCACCCTGTATTTAATACAGTAACCAAAAAGTCTAAATTTATATAAACACATTACACAGCTAAATTTTACTGACATTTTAAATTAAAATTTGGATGAAATTACATATTTATAAGGATAACGATTTTAGTTATTTTCTTGTACTTAATTAAAAATATTATTCGTAGGCACCTACTTTAAACTTTTAGGGTATATTATTATATATTATACACACAATGACATTTTCAAATGCAATTTTTTCAGCAAAAATTAATTAAACCTACTGTAGTACTAATTCCTCATAGAAAAATAAATAACTTTTATCACTAAAATATATATTACTTAGTAAATAGTAATATTATAATTTATAGGCTGACAGATCGTAATCGCTCATTATCGTGTTTCGCTTACAATGATTTTATATCATTGAATTAAAATTTCTCACATCCATTAAACTTTCTAGACACCACTTGATTTAATACACCCACTTGCTTTTTTTATTTACAATAACAAATATGAAAATATTTTTAAAATAAAATTGACATAATATCATTAAACAATTAATTATAATCATCGTTAATTTCATTAAATTTGGGAAATAAGTCAAGTCATTTTATGTCATTGTATATAACTAAGAAGTAGATAATTATAATATGTTAAATCATACTTTTATATTGGATCTTTTATCTTTATTGTAAATTCCTTCACATGTACGAATATACCTAAACTATAATCATTGCGTCTATACCTATTTACTGTCATGTCAGTTGTGTTCGTGGTCGTGTTTTAGCTGTGACAGTCAACTTACATTTTTTCGCATTGTGAACATTTTAAACTTAATTTTTTGAAATGAAAAATGATATTTTTGTAATAAGGTCAGAAAGGGGGAGTAATTTGTTAGTGGTGAAGAGACACAAATTTCGACACGTCAGACAGCGGGCAGATGGAAATAACAGATGGAGGTGCTGTAAAAAACAGTGTACTTGTACAGTCTTAATGACAAATGATAATAAAACAATGATAGAAAATGCTGTTGAGCAAAACCACCTTGTAGATTCTACTCATAAAATCGAAAGGCAAGTTCTAAGGGAAAATTGTAAACGTAAAGCTACAAGTTCAATAGCTATCCGACCAATAAAAATAATTAGAAGTCAACTTATGAAAGCGTAAGTATCAAATTAGAAAATAATGATATAAAATTAGTTAGAAAGGCTATGTATATTCAACGAAGAAAAAACTTTAATCCTTACCCTTCATCTTTAGAAGATGTCATTACGCAATTGAATAAATTACAAAATGAAGATTTTTTAATGTTTAGAGGCAAACAATTTGGTGTTTACGTATATTTGGTATACTTTTTTTAAAAAATACATACATAAATGTATGTTGAATATGATTGTTTATTTCCACCTATTTTATAGCCTGAAATACCATCACCAAATCTTAGGTATATATTTCCTAATAAGTAAAAAAAATATTGTTTAATATAATAATTATTTTAAATTTTAATAATAATTTGGCAACGTCACATCCAATTTCACGAGCAATCGTACTCTTTTTAATAGTCAAAATCATAATCTTTGTTATTTCGGCACTGCGCTCAATCGTATACGCAAAAAGGTAAAACGGGCGCAATCGTACACCACCGATAACTAATATATTTATAACTCCAGGCAACAAGAAGCTGAAGATGAACTCAATGTTGTGTTGAAAGAACTAAGAACAAAACAAAAAATGTTAGCTGATGTAGAAGAACGTCTACAAAAACTCGAAGACATTTACGACCAGAGCGTTTCAGAAAAGAATAAATTAGAATTGAATATAGAGCGAACGCAATCGCGGTTAAACCGGTCAGATTTACTAGTTGCGGCGCTGAGTGACGAACAGCAGAGATGGGAAAACAGTTTGAAGGTATTTTTTAATATTTTATTCACTCGTATAACTGCATGTAGTCTGACAAACGCGTTTTATTGTTGCAGACGTACTCACGACGCCTCTTGACCATAGCTGGAGACACAATAATAGCAGCTGGAAGCATCACCTATCTGGGTCCATTTACGGATGGCTATCGTAAGGAGATAACCCTTTCATGGTTACATGAGTTAAAGCGACACAACTTAGGACATTCACCGAATTATTCCCTGACCTCTGTACTGGTCGATCCTTCGGAGCTGCGGTTGTGGAATGTCTGTGGTCTGCCCAGGGATTCGTTTTCAACGGACAGTATGATAATCGCGACAAGAGCAAGTCGATGGCCGCTAATGATAGACCCCCAAGGGCAGGCAAACGAATGGATCAAGGCTTTAGAAGCAGACAGCTCTCTAAGGACGTGCAGAGGTACGGATTCCGCCGATGACCTGACGGACGCGATTATTGATGCTGTCAGGTTGGGTGGTGCAGTTTTAATCGAAGGCCTCGATGAGTACATAAACCCTGCACTCAAACCTGCGCTGGAGAACGTCACGTTTTTACGAGTAACTTGATTCAAAGTTCAAACATAAATCTATACACTCCAATGTTTCCAAAACACTATAGTTTTCAGTAAAATCTAGAAAATCACCCAAATCCCATTCTCTCTAAACCTATTGTCTCGTACTATTCTCAGAGCCTGCAAGAAATCTAAAACGCAATTAGTACGTGATAGGATAGCAAATAATAACACTATGTATTCCATAACATAGAGACCCACAGTTGGATAAATGTATTAACAAGTCATCTATACTTAATTAACTTATTATATATTTTATGCATATCGCAATCACATAAGAAATTAATAATTTAATTTTATAATTATAAAATTTAAAAAAAACTCTATTCCATAGACTTTCTGAAAAATACTAGTTGTGATGTATAAATATTATAATTTGAAATCGTTAAATCGGTAATAGGACGGATGTCTTTTGATTCGAATCGGAAATACTGATGTAGAATACGACAGTAAGTTCAGATTCTACATGACGACCAAAATGTCAAATCCTCATTACCAACCAAACGTGTGGATACAAGTGACGATGATAAATTTTATGGTAACGCCGACGGGGTTAGAAGACCAGTTATTGGTGTTAGTAATTATATATATTTAAATGAAAGTTTGAACTATAATATTATATAGGTACCTAATTTTAATTTTGTTTTCAATAGTGACGTCGTACGATTAGAAAGGCCTGATTTAGAAGAAAAACGGACTGAAACGAATTTGATTATAAATAACGACAACAATCTATTAAAAGAAATGGAAGAAAAAACGTTGAGAATGCTATACATGTCAGAGGGAAACATTTTAGATGATGAAGAACTCATCGATACGCTCAACAACAGCAAGGTTTACTAACATAACGTTTTGTATTTATTTACATTTTTATGTTTTTAATTTAATTTTTATTTTTCAGGAATCGTCAATTATTATCGCTGGGCGTTTGATTGATGCGGAAGAAACGGAAAAAAGTGTCAGTACTGCAAGAGAGCGTTATCGAGCGATAGCAAAACGAGGTTCATGCCTTTATTTTGTTGTGGCTCAACTATCTGAAATCAACATTATGTATCAGTTTTCATTGAAATATTTTAATTCTGTATGTATTGAAAACGATAAGATGTGTATTTATTATCGTTTTAATAAAATAATTTTATTTTAGATACTTTGCGATGTAATAAAAAACAGTAACAAATCGATTAAAATCGACGTGAAATTGCCGGCCATGATCGAAGATATTACTCTGGCAATTTATTCGAATATTTCTAGAGGCCTGTTTGAACATCATAAATTAATATTCAGTTTCTTGCTCAGCATCAACGTACATTTACAAACCGGTAAAATCACTAATGCCGAATGGAATTTTTTGGTTCATGGGCCTACGGCAGAAAAACAAGTTCCGGAGAAACCAATGGTATTGGCATTGACGGAAGACGTGTGGAAAACTGTAAACTACATGTCTGAAGTTTTTCCTAAATTTAAAAGTCTTTCGGAAAACTGCACTGGACGTATACAAATCAAACTTGGAGATTTCACTCTGAATATTCATTTAGATCCCAAAAATAATAATCCAGCACTAAATTGGGATTCAATTTTGAATCCATTTGAAAAACTTATGATTATCAGAGCATTTAAAGAAGAAAAATTAATTTGCGCGATCTCTAATTACGTTAGCGTCGAACTCGGTAAAAAGTTTGTAGAAAGTCCGGAAGTTTCTCATCGTTTATTGTACACCAATACGTCTTCGACATTACCTTTAATTTTCATACTTAGTCCAGGTTCAGATCCATTTAAGTCTTTCCAAAAGTTTTCAGCGGAATTCGGAACAATAGACAAGTTACATACAATATCTCTAGGCCAGGGCCAGGGATTTACAGCAGAAAAGCTAATAAAGGATGGCAAAGAACAGGGGAACTGGGTTTTCTTACAAGTAATATCCTAGTCATAAATCATGACACTGTAACATATTATATATAAATCAAGTTATTTCAAACATTATTTTTAGAACTGTCATTTAGCACCGTCGTGGTTGCATCACATGGACAATTTAGTTCAAGAACTGATCAATAACCCGTTGGATGTCAACCAAAATTTCCGACTGTTCTTGAGTTCAGTGCCGTCAAAAACTTTTCCTACTTTCGTCCTACAAAATTCGTTGAAAGTTACTATCGAACCACCAAAAAGCTTGAGGGCAAAAATGAAAAAATCTTTTGGAAATATGAATATAGATTTCTTTGAAGACAATGGTAATATTAACATTTCACTGAAAAGTATTACAATAATATTTCTGCTGTTTTACTCACATATTAACTACATAATAAACTGGTACCGAAATAGCTTTTGGATCTGATTGGCGAAAAATGGTATTCGGGCTATGTTTTTTCCACGCTGTCATATTAGAAAGAAAGAAATTCGGATCACTTGGATGGAACGTACCGTATGCGTTTACTGACAGTGACCAAGAATACGCTTTGCACTTATTACATACGTACTGCTTAACTGCAAAAAAAATACCCTGGGAAGCCTTGCAATACATCACTGTTGAGATAAACTATGGTAGCAGAGTCAACGATTACTGGGATCAAAAAACTCTGAAGACGATACTATTGAATTTCCTAGGACCTCGTACACTTGATTCAAGTAATTAATGAGAGCAAATTACCATTAAATACGAGTATAGATCTAATAATATACTATTAAATATATTTTCAGATTATAAATACTCTGAGTCTGGCGTTTACATTTGTCCGGAAACAGAAAACTGTACCACGATCGATAACTATAAGAAATTTATTAATAAACTACCACTAACCGAAGAAATAGAAATATTCGGAATGCACATAAATGCCAACATAGCATATCAAGTATGAATTGGATTTGTGAAATAAACTTATTTGTATGTATATAAATAGTTATTTTGACTTAATTGTATTTAAAAGGCTAGAGAAACACAAGAGGCGTTACGCACAATCGTTTGTGTCTACCCGAAATCACTAACAGTACCTGCTTCTAAACCAGATGACGAAATCGTTATAGACGTAGCTGTCAATATTTCCAAAAGACTCACTAACTTTATAGATTTTCATCAATCTCATTTTACAATATTGAAATCAGACGAAAAAGGACGACTGCCTCCATTATCTACAGTCTTATCACAAGAGATCGAACGTTTTAATACATTACTGGACGTCGTGCACAATACTTTAACTGACCTACGTGAGGCTATTGAAGGACATGCGATTATGTCTAGAGAATTAGAAATAGTTTACTGGTCATTCGTGAATAATACTGTAATATAATAATAATAACAATAATAATAATTTGTAACATCTAATAAATTAGAAAACGTTGAAGGTACCGGCAATGTGGCAGAACAGAGCATATCCCTCTCTGAAGACATTGGGTAGTTGGATCAAAGACTTGATATTAAGACTTGACTTTATTAATGTGAGTTGTACATTTTGATGGTTTTCATCGGAAAATTGGTAATAATAAGTGAAAATAATACAAAATATATTTAGATCTGGACAAAATTTGGAAGTCCTCCTTCTTACTGGATATCTGGTTTGTATTTTCCACAATGTTTCATCACCGGATGTCTTCAAAGGCACGCCAGGAAATACGGCATACCCGTATATAGCTTAAAAGTTGATTTTGAGCTTACCAGCACTGTTCTGGCACAAGAGGAAATTTCTGCCATGCACTCGACCAGTTTAAAAGAAGAAATTCAAGTTTATAAAGGTTTGACGGAAAGAGATGATGGTGTTTACATCCACGGGCTGTTTCTATGCGCTGGACGCATCGACTTGACCAGCAAACGTCTAGTGGATCCCATTCCCGGTAATTATCAGCACATTTTACCGTCGAACTTAATACATGTACCTATTATTCTACTACCAAGACTTTGTTATTGCGACCTTTGCAAAACTTAGTATATTAATGTTTACGTCGTTCAATTCATTCCAGGTGACTTATATTCTCCACTACCAGTTGTACAACTAATTCCATCCATAGAAATAGAAGAAAAAAGGTTACGATATAATTGTCCTGTGTATAATACGACAGCTCGAACAGGTGTTTCTTCAACCACTGGACATAGTACACATTTTGTGATTTCCATGTTATTGCCGACAGACTTTCCGGAGAACTATTGGATACTTAAGGGAACCGCTCTAATTGCTCAAATATAAAATTAATAAATTTCTCGTTAATTCTATTCATACTATATCATAAGGCATTCGAAATACTTGTTTACATTTTAAGCACTAATCAGTTGATGAATCATATTTTTTTTTATTTATAATATAATAAAATCATATTAATCTTTAAATAGTTAATCCGTACTTTATAGATCCATTATCTTTAAATTTTGAAACATATTATTACATTATTATAGTATTATAGAAGTATTTTAAATTGTTGTGTACTTAATTTTATAAATAAAACTCTCTCACTCTTTCATAAATTTGGAGCACCCTGATGTTTAATCTCAAGGCTATCTTCAACCACACTTTCCATTCTCACTACCTCATTAACAGGGAACAAAGGTAATTAATCTTTAGGCCCCAAAACCTAGTTTATTAAAGTATTAATACAATAATAAGTTTCCACACCATAAGTATCCAATAACTGATTAATATGTCTTTTCCAAACTTCACCCCCTACAATTTATCCACAGAAGTTAAAGAAGATAATATTTGAATAATAGTACCTCTTATCCACTTAGCCCCACTACAATAATTCAGGCACATCACATTATCAACAATTTCAATCCTTTTAACTCTACCCCCTTTATAAACTCTCTTAGCTACCAACATACTATTATTATAACTAAATTTAGCTCTCAGCGCCAATCTGTCAAAACATGTAAATAATCTCATCCCAATATGTAACTCAGGTGGTGTTACATTTGTAGCACAATGCTTGGTACTATTATAGGATAACATAAATCTGGCAATCTCTGTCTAAATCTGACTTCATACCACTTTTCTTCAAAAATGTTTAAAAGTTTTGACCAAATTTTCAGCAGCCCCATTAGATGCATTATTTTATGGCGGTGTTTTCACATGGAACACTACATTCTTATCTAAAAACTCCTCCATAACTTCTGACGCTAAAGAAGGACCATTACCTGTTACCAGCTTAGCGGGTATTACCAACAAGGAAAAATACTCCCGTAAAATCTTAATAGTTGATTCTGTAGTTATGTTATTCATAAACCTAACATGAGAGCCCATTTAGAATGAATATCGATAATTACAACAAATTACTTACCATTAATAGGCCCTAAAAAATCCAACTGGATCCGTTAAGCTGGTCACTCAGACCAAGACTAATTGTCTTATATTGACTTTGGTGGATTATCACTATATTTAACACACCCACTACATTCTTTAGTGATCATATTAATTTCTTTGTCAATATTTGGCCACCAAATATATGACCTCGCTATAGCTTTCATTTTAACCGTACCTAAATGAGAACTATGCAATTCCATCAACAAAACCTCTCTAAACTTTAATGGAATAACCAGCCTATGTCCACATAAAAACATATCTTGCTGAATAGCAAGCTCATTACTCATATTAAAATACGGCTTAATATCCTCTTTACTTCATTACTGGAATTAGGCAATTTTCCCGACTTCAAAAACAAAAAAACTTTTTTTAATACCTTGTCCCTCTGAATTTTCTCACAAATATCTAAATCAGCAATCCCCTGCATATAAGTAGTTATTAAATTATTAAAGAAATTACTACAAAATACATGGTTGATCATATCAACCCCCTCAAGTGGTAATCGGGATAAGGCATCCGCATTGCCATTGTTCCCTCCCTCCACGAATTCAATAGTAAAAGTATAACCAGCGAGAAAAACTGCATACCTCTGCAGTCTATGGGCTGCCATGACCGGAATCCCTTTTTCTCTCCAAAAATTGATATTAAAGGTTTATGATCCGTTTTTAGAATGAAACGTCTGCCACACAAATACTGATGAAAATATTTGACACCATAAACCAAGACCAAAGCCTCCTTATCCAGCTGGAATATCCCTGCTCGCTTTTACTAAGCGTCCTTGAAGCAAATTCAATAGGCTTTCCTTCCTTATTAGGAAACCTATGTGACATCACTGCACCTGTACCCTTAAGTCTCGCATCACGAGATAAAACTAATTCCAAGGTTGAATCATATAATGTAAGTACCATTTTTGACAATAAATGATTTTTAATATTAGTAAATGCTTATTTTGCTCTAGACCCCAAAAAATTTACATTGGCCTTCAATAAAGAATACAAAGAACTAGCCAAAGAGGATATATTTCTAAAAAAATCTACCATAATAATTGACTAGACCTAAAAATGCTTTTAATTAATGCACATTTTCAGGAGTTTTCACCAGAGCAATGGCTTTAACTCTTCTACAGAAATATGCAAACCATTGTTAGATTACTTATTAAGGCCAATAAGACTCCAATTACTTTATTTTGTATATATAGGTCTCCGTCAAATGATATTCACAAATTTTTGACCATTTTAAACGATATTTTATCAATAGAAAAAAGGTGGGTAAGTGGATGTCGCTCTGCTGTACTGTAGGTTACGAGTGGGTCACTGTATAATGGATGGTATTAAATTTGAATTCAATGATAAAATATCATTGTATAAGAAAAACGATTCTGAGCGGAGACGGTATGTCAGTCTAGGTATAAGACATATTATATACATATCTATGGTACTAAACCAAAATTTGACCTATAATAGGTACCTATAATAAATTCCAAATTAATCATATCACAATATCCATTAGGTACTTATAACGCGTTATACATCAATAACAAACCCTGATACTATCATTGATATATAATATAGTGTACTTTAAAAGTTTCAAGTACCCACGAATAGTATTATACACTCACAACAAAATAACTAAAATAGGTATGCTAGGTTTTTTAATATGTAATTTCGTCCCAAATTTGAACTTAAAATGTCTGTAAAAAATAACTGTGCTCATATATTTTTAGATTTTTTGGCTACAGTATGAACTATTTATGAGAATCTTTTTTTTAAATTTTCAATCCTTAGCTATAAAAACTGAACATTTTATAATTTATTAATTACAATGATTGATAATTTTCGAGATTTTGATAAATTTTGTCAAAATGCGATCTTTATATGCTTATAAAAAAAAATTCTGCCTATGTATTTTTAATATTTTTCAATTGATATTGTAACAATATATCAGGAGCTTTGTATTAATTTTTCACACTTTTTGGCCCAACAGATAAAACTTTATTAATATTTATAGAAAAAAAAAAACTAAAAAAATTGAAAACTGAAAATGTCCGTGAACGGCTCAAAAAGAGTCAAAATATTTTCAAAATTGTATGGTGTATAGGAAATTCTAATATAAACATTCAGTGAAATTTTCATGTATCTACAGTAATTCGTTTTTGAATTACAACAAAATAAGGAAATCGCCACATGAGAAATCGAGTGAATATCCAATGTTGTAAAAGTTTGAATTTCAAACGCTCATAAAAATTTAATTTGACTTTCCGGTAGAGATTTTTTTATTGATAAAGGTAGACAATCTTATGAGTAATCTTGTATTAGATTTTCAAATCTTAGATTTAAAAAAAAAAATTTTTACGAATTCTTAACTCAAAATAATTTGCTAATTTTCTTGATTTTTCCATATTTTGTCAATTTTTGAACTTTAAATGCTTATAAAAAAAAATTGTGACTAAGGATTTTTAATATTTTTCATCTGCCTTTGAAACAATATATTAGGAGCCTTCTATTAAATTTTCAAGCTTTCGCAACCAACAAATAAAATTTTATTGATATTTCTAGAAAAAAAACTAAAAAAAAACGAAAAATGAAAATGTCCCTAAACTGTTCAAAATAGATCAAAATATTTTGAAAATGTTATCGTGTATAGAAGATGCAAATATAAACAACCAGTGAAAATTTCATGTACCTATGGTAATTTGTTTTAAAGTTACGCCAAAAACAAAATTCAATTTTCTGAAAAATCGATTTTGCGTAAAAATTCCCGTTTTTCCTTCATTTTTCTTTTGTTTTTCTTGGTGCTTTTGAAAAGTACTGGGAATTTTAAATTTTGACCTCCCCAATGCACCAACGATATTCACTTTCCAATCGAACAAGATACTGAAGTCGAAAATCGAAGCATTATTTCGACTACTTATCGTGTACACAGATACAAAAAAAATAAAAAAACACACATCATTGTAAAACCAATACATTCATCGCTCCGCTCAGAATCTAAAAATGAAAGTGGGCTTACAGTGATTCTAGGTGATATAAATATAAACATAATTGGTATAGACAAGTCTGATAATGAATACTTAGATATGTTGTCAATGTTTAATTATAAATCTTTTATTAATTTATATACCAGAACTCCGACTGGTTTTAATCATTCTTGCATAGATCATATTTTTATCAAAAATAACAAAGAAATAAAAATCTTTAACGCCGGTGTCATTCAAACTAATTTTAGTGACCATTTTTCAATGATTTTATCAATACCGGAAACAATAAATACTTCAAAATGCAATACAATTAACTATATAGATTTTAAAAAAGTTGATACTAGTTTAAAATCTGAACTTTGGGCAGACGTATACGATAGTCAAAATATTAATGTAAGCTGTGATAGATTTTATAATATAGTATCTTCTGCAATAGATACGGCTACTACAAAATAGATAGTAAGTTCTAAATATAAACGATTAAAAGACTGGATAACAGCAGGTCTCTTATGCTCAGCTCGAAAAAAACAAAAGTTGTCCTTAAAAGTGAAAATGCATCCAAATAACAAATCGTTGGTGTCTTATTACATCAAGTATAAAAATAATTTTACTACCATTTTACGACGAGCAAAAATTAACTTTTATCAAACTAAATTTTCCGCTGTAGCGTCTTATCGCAAATTAACTTGGAAATTAATTAAAGAAGTTACCGACACTGAAATCAAAAATTCTAACGAAATAAAAACTATAATTATCAATAACAAGGCTATAAATACTTTAGATGAACCGTATAAAGTGACACAATCCTTTAATGATTTCTTTATTAAGGTGGGAAATCAAAAAACTAACAATTGTAATAATCACATTAATACTGTAGATATTACTGAACTACAAAATTATTTTTTTTGATACTGCATTTAAAGAACAAATCAATGAATTGGATGTTTCTCAAATAATAGATAAACTTAAAGATGACACCTCAGCTGGTTATGATAAAATATCGGTCAAACTTTTAAAACATACCTATAGCTAAAAGTATTTTGAGGCCACTAACATACATATGTAATTTAAGTATACTCAATTGCATATTCCCCGATAAATTTAAAACTGCAGTAGTAGGTAATTCCATTATATAAGAATGGAGATAAACAAAAAGTTAATAATTATAGACCAATCTCTATGTTATGTAATTTTTCAAAAATATTAGAAAAGATTATAAAAAACCGCTGAATAAACTACTTAGAAACAAACAAGTTATTATCAAAAAATCAGTTTGGTTTCAGACCTGGCATAGGTACCGAAGAGGCTCTTTATAGTGCCACTAGCTTTATTTATAATGAACTGGATAAGAGAAATAAAACTTTGACAATTTTTCTAGATCTTGCTAAAGCGTTCGACATGGTAAATCATACGGAATTAATTAGAATTCTACCTAGTTTTGGTATGAAAACGAGTAGTATAAAATGGTTTACAAGCTATTTATATAAAAGAAATCAAATTGTTATGATAAATGATGTTTTAAGTGAAGAAATGGAAATAATTTGTGGAGTACCTCAAGGCAGTGTACTCGGTCCGATCTTTTTTATACTATACATAATTACATAAATAGTATATGCAATCTAAAAATTGATGGGAAAATAACTACATAATATGCAGACGATACATGTTTGCTTTTTTCTGGTCCCACTTGGAATTCAGTATATCAAAAATCAGAAAATGAATTGTCAAAAGTTGTCAATCATTTAAGTCCAAAGAAACTATTATTAAATATTAAAAAAACAGTTTTTATGACTTTTACTATAAACAAAGAAAATGTACCTTTCGATAAAATCACTGTCCATTATTGTAGAAATAAGGAGCAATATAATGATAATATTTGTAAATCAATCTCAAAAGTACCTTTCACACGATACTTGGGAATTACCTTTGATGAAAATTTAAGGTGGAATGTACATATAGATAACATAGTTATGCGTTTAAGAATATCAGTCTATAAATTCTGTAAACTTAAAGACATTTTTCCTATTAACATTGTACGTAATATATATTTATCATTAAACCAAGCAGTCTTTCAATATGGCATTCGAGTATGGGGAGGTCTTACCCAAAAACCTATTAAACCACCACAACTGCAACAAAATAAAATTATTAGAATATGTCTAAATAAATACAGTTTAGAAGGATCTACATCTCAAAATTATAAAGAACTCAAAGTTTTGCCTATTAATTCACTGTATAAGAAATTTGCAATTATGTGGGTAGTAAAAAATATGGAAAATTGGTATAATATAGATAAATATAAGCAAACTAGGGAAAATAGGGCATATGATGCTAAAATTAATTATACGAATACTTCTTTTGGTCAAAAATTTGTGGATTATCTTGATCCGAAATTTTATAACTCTCTATGTATAATTCTTGTATAACTTGTATAATTTGTATATAATTACTAAACATGTTTATCCTGTTATCATAAGCAACCTGTATATTATTGATAAGTAATATTAACTCCCTACCTTCATCACAAGCTATGCTTAAAGAAGGTAGGTACCGTAAGAGCGGGATACTTTACTCCAGGGGTTAAACATTGCTCCAAAAAAATTTTTTATTGATATCAATCGTAGCACATTACG